AAAAGCCGAAGAGTAAGATACAGTAATTGATTCAAATTTTAAAAAAGTTATTAGAAAATGTTTTTCTGGATATGAGAATCGTTTTGAAAAATTTTTTTATCACAAAACAGTAACTCCTTGATGTTTATTAGTATTTTCTGTTGTTTGGGTTTACCTATTTTGTTTCATGTATGAAACTAACTGTAATAAATTATATGAAATTTTACTATATAATATTAATATACACATAAACCAAAAAATTGTCAGTTTTATCTAGTTTATGTTTATATAAGTTGTTCAAATGAGTGTTCTGTATCCTGTAGAAGTGATTCTGGAGAATATAAAAATATTGTGATAAATTTTTTAAAATTTTATATTTTAATTTACAAACAAAACATATAATGTTATAGGATTTTTTGTCAATTTAACATTAACTACATTCCAAACATTTTTAAATTAATCAACTAATAGACAATTAATAGTCTATTTTTTGTATAGTAATTAAATTTTTAATTACTATACAAAATTACAACTGAAAATAAACTGCAGTATTTTAGGATAAATTATTCACTTGAAGCAAAATATTTTTCAATATGTCACTTTAAGTGAAAATTTATACTAAGTTCTATCAGCTATTGTAGATTTATTTGTACGATAAATTGAATTTTGGTTGAAATAATAATAATATCATCATTATTTTAATGAATAAATTTGTTTAGATAAACTTATTTGTAATTATTATTAATAACCTTTTGTTAAGTTATTTTCATTTTTAGAAAAGTATTTTGAAACTTCAAAAAATTTTAATCCCATTTTGAGTTTCTGTGTTTCTTAGACATTATAGAATTAACAATTCAAATTATTTTAGAATCTGAATTACAAATTCCAAAATACAGTAGAGCCTCGAAAACTCGGCCTAATGTGGACCGAAGGGTGGCCAAGTTTGTGAAAATGTCGGGTTATCGGGAATGGGGTTAAAAAAAATAAGTATGAGTGTTTCCTCAGAAAATACTATACTGTATTTGTATGTATTGTTTACTTGAGAATACAACAGAGAATAAACTGCCCAAATACCCTTAAACAAAGGAAAAGTACGTCTTTTACGAAGGCATAGAGCCTTTACTACATGAAAATGAAAATTAATGAATACACTGTACAGTAATTTACCTGATAAAACAGACCTCAGAAATATACTTTATGAGGCATAAAGCTGTCTTTATCATGAAAATTAATTAACTAAGGATTTTTTTCTCCTGCCAGGGTGTGGCCGAGTTATCCAGACTGCTGGGTTATCGAGTGCCGAGTTTTCGAGGCTCTACTGTATTTCAAAAATTCAAGAACCAAATATGCTAAAAGCTCAAAATAAAAATAAATTTTTTGACAAAAAGCTGTTTTTTTTTCAATAGTTGAATTAAAATAAATATGATTAACTAGACAAATTAAAGGGTCAGTTACAATACTGTATAATAAGATACATTTGTTCTCTTCTCCTAAAATTGATTATGTGGTTTGAATATTGTAAAAATTAATTTATTTCTGTTATAATCAAATTATACATTCTTTTTAGTTTAAAATTCTATATAAATAATCATGTGAAAGATCAAACTGCAAAGTTCAGAGAACTGGAATTATTCTTTATTTGTTAATGTGTTTTTGTCTTCAGAGGCTATGCTAAAAAATATAAACCAGTGATTCTCAAACTTTTTTGAGCCACTGCTCCTTGGTTCCATAAAGTTATACCCAATGTCCTAGCTCATTTAAGGAAAACTTTTCTATGAAACTTATATTTTGTATCCTTATTATACATTGTTATCCACATCTGAAAACTATTAAATGCAATGTTTCTTCTTACTTGTTTTGAAAGAGGCAAGGGAAAGGTCACTGACCCCAACTTTTGCCTATGGTTACTGTTCATACTCTCACCCCCTAGAGTTACTCACCACCCACACTTTGTAGTGTCCACTTTGGGAACCACTGATATAAATAATGACTGTAACATTTGTGAATTATTTTGCTAATTGTTTTCCAATATCATCTAAAATGATATAGCAAAAATTTCTTTAATAAATTTGATTTGAAAATTCAAGGAGTTAAACCTATAGAACATATTGCCTAGAACATAACTCCATTATGCTTAAATCAATTATTTGAAAAACAGTACATTTACTTTCTTTGTTGTTGAGATCACTGACTATAATTACATTAAATAATTCTTGAAAATTCCCTAATCCTAACTATAAATAAGAAAATTGAACTGAAAGATAAGATTATGGACTTGATGAGTTGCTTTAGAATTTGTTTATTATATCTAAAAATATAAAAATTAATCTCTGAAATATATATTTATAAGTCTAACTATACAATAATGTTTTGTTTCTGCAGGTGTACACCTGCAGAAACTCTATTGTTAATTCAATGATCCAAAATGTAGAATTTAATTATATTTATTTTGGTTGATTACATACATTATTATATGGATTTCAGGCCAACTTACAGTTTACAGCCCTTCATCACTAACTAAAATTATTGAGAAATAGATATAAATTCAAAATTAATTAAAAATAATAACAGCAACAAATGTAATGGTTCTTCTGGTAATGGTAAATGTAATGGTAATGTCTTACTTTGTATTGAATAAACCATCTTCTTAAATTCAAAAGTACACAAACATAACATGGAATATTTTTAACACTGCTACATTAGGCAAATAATAATCAGAACCGATACCATAAACCAAAGATATTTTATGCTAACTTAATAAAAATTGGTCTTTAAAAGTAAACTTCATATTACTCTAAAGCAGTGATTCCCATACTCTTTCAAGCCACTGCCCTTTGGTTCCATAAAGTTATACTCAACACCCCCTAACTTCTAATCCTCATGTGAAAGAAGAGCTTGAAATATTCTTAGAAAAACTTTTCTATGAACCTGACACTTTGTATCCTTACAAAACATTACTCTCAACATCTGGAAAATATTAAATGCAATGTTTCTTCTTACTCATTTCAACAGAGGAAAAGGAAAGGTTTCAGTGATCCCAACCTTCACCTATGGTCACCATTCAGTACCCTGTCTCCAGCATCCCCATGCCACTCGCTTCTTTTCGCCCCCCTAGATTTACTCACTGCCCACAGTGTGGTAGCATCCACTTTGGAAACCACTGCTCTAAAGTGTAACAAAATTATGACCATATGATTTACCATTCCCTGAACTACCTGCAACCAAGAGATAATGTCATAGTACTACTTGGTGATTTGAACTCCTTCACACATATTTATGTTTAAGACATATAGCTGCATCATGTTCTTTTAATCTTTTTTCCTAGGGTTCTGCCAGTCTTACCTATGTAATAATAAGGGGGTTAACATGAACATTGTAAACTGTAAACAATACCTGCATTATCTGTTTTTTGCTTTTTAGTTTTTGTACTAGTCTTATTGTGGAATATATCTTTTAATTTATTGCATAATGTAGGGGCTATACATATATTAAATTTATGCATTTTATTTAAACATTTTTTGAAAATATTTTTCATGTAAGGCAATTTCATGTAGAGTACTACCTTTTTATTGTATTTTATATCATATCTGTGAAGAAGAAAGTGATTATACCATTTCTTCAATATTAAATTTGGATAATTATTTAATAAATATTTTTCACTGCTCCTTGTATTATCTTTTTCATATGTAATTCTGTTAAAAATTTTTCTTAAATCTGTAATGTACATCTTCTTTTTAATTTTCATTGGGCAGTTTGAATGTGCTTTACTCTATTATTACCATCTACATTTAATATAACTTTTATTATCAGTATTGCAAAATGAACATGTATTATCATATGAATATAATAAACTTTTCTGAAAGTTAATTATTTTCTCATCTAATGTATTAAATTATAGTTGATTATCTAGTTGATTTTTAATGATTACATCATATCATTTAACTTTACTTACATGATGATATGAAGTAAAAATATCTTTCTTTCAATATCTTGTTAATAAATGATAAAATTAAGAATGTTCTCTTGGAAAATTAAGTTTAAAACTAGAATACAGTAATACCCCAAACTTGTGCAATAGGTGGGACCAAGTGATAACCGAGTAAGTCGGGATATAATTTCTCAATTTGTGTAAAATCCAAGTCAGATGTATGTAAGCTAATAAATGTTCTAATTAATCTTAGCTCATCTTTTGATTCGTTCACGGTTACAAGAAATCACCACATAGTCTCTCAAGTCTCCGTAGATATAATGAACACAGAAATAAATAACACAAAATAAATTGTAGCTATGTGTCGATTCTGTGCAGCACATCTGAACATGTAAGCTGAACAATAGTGTGGGGGAGTGAGTAATCAAGAGTGCGTGGCACTCAAACAAAAGATGAATCGACAAAACTTGAAAATCGCGTAATTCCGGGTTTGCGTAAGTTGGGGTAGCGTAAGTCGAGGTATTACTGTACACAATGTGTGGAAAGTTTGTAATTCTAGATTGCTATTTAACTAGTTTTTGGAATGTGTATTTAAATAGTCCATTGTACAACCTCAAATATCTGATATCATTTTAATTTATTAAAACCTGTTTATTAAAAAGTTCATATTAAATGTAAATTATTTTTTATAATGTAATTCAATCAATAGAAGTAGAAATTCTGTAAAGAAATTTTGTATTGGAAATGGAAATTTTTTTTATTATTTCTTGTTTTTTTTAACTTGTTTTCTTTGCCTGAAGATGAAATAATTTCATTAAAAATAGTAGCAAATATAATTTTAATTTCACATATTTTTGTGTATATTTATAGAAAATTAACACCAAAAAGATAATTCTTCTGTAATTTTAGTTCATTATACATCTTACTGTGTCTTTACATTCATTGTTACATATACAGTTTACAACAATATTTTGCATTATAGTTTTCATGTTATATTTTACTTTAATTATTCTGCATTTTTATAGATATATTAACTAATTCAGTAGTTATATTTATTTCACCTTTATTAATCCAAAATTTTATTTAATCACAGGTTGCAAAAGATCTAGGCTTAGAGCCAGATAAATCTGTAAAACTTGAAAATTGCAGCCAAATAGGGTATTATTTTAGAGTTACGAAAAAGGTAAAATTTGACATTTTACATTACATCAATTTATATTTCACAATTTTAAATTTAAAAAAATTGTTTCCTTTTGCTCTGCAGGAAGAGAAAGCCTTGCGCAAAAAAAATTACATCACTATTGATGCAAAAAATAATGGAGTTCGTTTTCATAATGCCATGCTCAGAAAACTTAATGAGAAATATGTTTCATTGCGTTTGGAATATGAGACGCATCAAAAGTCTGTTATAGAATTAATCATTGGAATAGCCTGTAAGAGTATATAACTTCTTCTCTAATTCAAATTTTTATTATTATATTTAACTTAAATTATTCCTAAAAAAATTTGCTTTAGAAAAATATTATTATAGTTATCTGTCTAAACTGTATTTTAAATTATTGTAATATAAAATACATTACAATAATTATAAATCTCTGTATGACTTTCTTGAAATTTTATTACAGTTGTGAGTTAAACTCAAAATTTTTAACATGTACAATTTTTTGAAATAATTTTATTCTTCTAATGACTGGTTTTAATTTTCAAAGCTGGTTATAGTGAACCAATGCAGCAGCTTAGTGATTTATTAGCACAGTTGGATGTATACATAGCGTTCAGCATGAGTGCAATAGGAGCACCTCAACCTTTTGTTCGTCCAAAATTAATGTTGAAAGGTATTTTTACATTAATGAAATGAAATATTGATATTGTATTTTTAAGATACTTAATTAAAAATTATTTACTGTATAGAAAATGGGATCATAAGTATGAAACAGGCTCGACATCCTTGTCTTGAAGTTCAAGAAAATATAGATTTTATTCCAAATGATGTGATATTAGATAAAAGTAAGAAAAATTTTTAATAACAATTTTTTTAAACATTAACTAATATTTCAAAATATATTTCAGAAGAAAAGAACTTTCATATTATAACTGGTCCTAATATGGGAGGAAAGTCAACCTTTATACGATCTGTAAATATATTTGATATATTAAATAATTTTATAATTTCTTGTATATACATTTGGCAATATCATCAATCTAAAATTCTAGGTAGCTATAAATGTTTTGATGGCACAAATTGGTAGTTTTATTCCCTGTGAGGAAGGAAATATTTCAATTGTTGATGCCATTTTGACACGTGTGGGTGCAGGTGACATACAACTAAAAGGTGTATCTACATTTATGGCAGAAATGCTTGAGACAGCTTCTATATTAAAAGTAAGTATAAAATATAAATTTTGTTGAATAAATTAAAATTTAATTTTAAAAGTAAGTGCTTATTATTAATTTCATTTATTTAGTCGGCTACAGAAAATTCATTAATAATTATTGATGAATTAGGAAGAGGAACATCAACTTATGATGGATTTGGTCTTGCATGGGCAATATCAGAGTAAGAATATATTTGAATTTGTTTTATTATAATGCATAATGGCTTATAATTTAAATATTTACCCATAAAACTGCTTTTCCAGTGGATTTTTTTATGAATAATTTCATACATAGATTAAACATATAACAATCTAAATATATTTGAAAATAAGTACATAACAAGAAAATCAAAACTCAGTTCTTTAAACTAATCTTAAAACATAAAAATTAATTTTGCATAATGTTTTTATATACATTAATACATAAACCATGAGTCAAATTACATAAATTTACCACATCAATAAATTATACGTAATTCCGGGTTTGCGTAAGTTGGGGTAGCGTAAGTCGAGGTATTACTGTATACAATGTGTGGAAAGTTTGTAATTCTAGATTGCTATTTAACTAGTTTTTGGAATGTGTATTTAAATAGTCCATTGTACAACCTCAAATATCTGATATCATTTTAATTTATTAAAACCTGTTTATTAAAAAGTTCATATTAAATGTAAATTATTTTTTATAATGTAATTCAATCAATAGAAGTAGAAATTCTGTAAAGAAATTTTGTATTGGAAATGGAAATTTTTTTTATTATTTCTTGTTTTTTTTAACTTGTTTTCTTTGCCTGAAGATGAAATAATTTCATTAAAAATAGTAGCAAATATAATTTTAATTTCACATATTTTTGTGTATATTTATAGAAAATTAACACCAAAAAGATAATTCTTCTGTAATTTTAGTTCATTATACATCTTACTGTGTCTTTACATTCATTGTTACATATACAGTTTACAACAATATTTTGCATTATAGTTTTCATGTTATATTTTACTTTAATTATTCTGCACTTTTATAGATATATTAACTAATTCAGTAGTTATATTTATTTCACCTTTATTAATCCAAAATTTTATTTAATCACAGGTTGCAAAAGATCTAGGCTTAGAGCCAGATAAATCTGTAAAACTTGAAAATTGCAGCCAAATAGGGTATTATTTTAGAGTTACGAAAAAGGTAAAATTTGACATTTTACATTACATCAATTTATATTTCACAATTTTAAATTTAAAAAAATTGTTTCCTTTTGCTCTGCAGGAAGAGAAAGCCTTGCGCAAAAAAAATTACATCACTATTGATGCAAAAAATAATGGAGTTCGTTTTCATAATGCCATGCTCAGAAAACTTAATGAGAAATATGTTTCATTGCGTTTGGAATATGAGACGCATCAAAAGTCTGTTATAGAANAATATATAATTATATGTACAGTACCTAATTTATATATAATTTATATAATACTGTCCAGACGATAGAAATCTCTCCGTAGCGTGGCGCTACGGACGGCGGGAAAGTAGTTCGGCTTCCCGATGACGTTTGAGGTGTTTATAGGGAACTTTTACTATTTTTTACGGATACCGGTAGCAATTTTTTCGTAGTTTTATAGGAATCGTAACTATAGGGACCGTAATTATAGGGGGGTCGACTGTACTGACATTGATTAGAATTTTAGTACTATCAATTTCATTCAAGTAATAAGTGCATCTTGTCATTAATGCATGAAATATAACTATTCAAGGATTTCTGAAACAGGAAAACAATGTAAAATTAATATATATATATACAGGTAACCCCCATATAACACAGCACTTCTATAGCACGGATTCAATCTAATACGGTTCGAGAATTGGGAACATCCCCCGTATAACATGGTGCTTTTATAGCACAGGTTCACTATAACATGGTTTAGGAATTGGGTAAAATCCTTGTACAACATAAAATGTAATAAAGGGTGCGTTCTTTTATACTTCCACATAACTCCACACGAGCATTCTAATTGTTTTCTTGGCTACTTTGAATGCTCTTTCAATAAATAATCCATTTAATGGTTAAATTATACAATTGGGACCTTTCATTTGCCTCTGAAAGCCCATTTTAGAATTATAGATTCCTCCACACGATACTATCGATAGTGCGGGTGCCACCATCTTTCTTTCACCATCATTCCTAAATGCCTACAAACAGCAGCGCACTCCCGTTGCAGAGTGACCGCTATTAATGAGCACCCACAAACTGTTACTAGTTGATGATGTTCATGCTGAGATCATCATATAAAATGAGTAATCCTCTGGTAAAATATTTACTTAAATAATAAATAAGTATTTTAACTGTGAAAAAAATTAATAATAAATCCGATTTAAATAAGGATTTAACAACATGTTTTTTATTGTGGTGTAGTAAACACTAGTATTGTGTTTTATTCCGAAGACACATGGCAAGTTTTCCATCAAATTCCTTTATTAGTTGAGTCGAGTTTGATGAGTCTTGCAAAACATGTTTTTTAATTTTTGGAACCTAACCCCCTTTTTCGCACTAGTTCTTTGTTTCATATAACATAACATGAATTCGCATAACATGGCAATTTTCTGGAACATAACTCCCATGTTATACGGGGGTTATCTGTATATGTAAACTACACTAGGTACCATATGTATCTAATATTGAATAGAATATCTAATGTATCTAAACTTCAATAGAAAATGAAATATGTAAAATGTATAATTCACAGTAGGTGTACTTTTTAATTAATTTCTTATTTCTAGTTTAGAACTTAACTTTCATAAATAAATAAATACTTTATTAAAAACAGAAATGAAATGAGTATGTGCAAAGAAAATAATAACTGCTCTTGAATAGTAATCACAGAGAAAATATACAGTTTTTAAAATAATAGCCACTGTTAATATTCAAATAAAGGTGGTAATCTTCTAACTTTAGATTTTCAGATTTGTTTACTGTTTGTTTTAAGACAGTTTTATCATCATGAAAACATTTTTGGTAAGAGATATATAAATAACAACATGGCATATTGTTAATTTCTGGAACAATATCTGAACCTGGGGTTTTTATTTGATAGCTAATGTAACAATATATTATTTATAATGATATAAAATGTAAATTATTTTTAATAGAATATTTTTACAATTTCATTAAATTTTGGCTAACATGTCTTGTACAGTAGAACCTCGAAAACTCGGCTCTCAATAACCCGGCACTCCGGATAACTCGGCCACACCCTGGCAGGGCAAAAAAATCCTTAGTTAATTAATTTTCATTATAGACAGCTTTATAAAAGTATAAAAGCTCTCATAAAGTATTTTTCTGAGGTCTGTCTTATCAGGTAAATTACTGTACACAGTGTATTCATTAATTTTCATTTTCATGTAGTAAAGGCTCTATGCCTTCATAAAGTACGTACTTTTCCTTTGTTTAAGGGTATTTGGGCAGTTTATTCTCTGTTGTATTCTCAAGCAAACAATACATACAAGTACAGTACAGTATTTTCTGAGGAAACACGCATGCTTATCCTTTTTTAACCCCATTCCCGATAACCCGGCATTTTCACAAACTCGGCCACCCTTCGGTCCACATTAGGCCGCGTTTTCGAGGTTCTACTGTATTAATTTTGGATATTCTGATATTAAAATATAAAAATATTTATAAAAAGAAAAACTATGAGAACAGTTCTGTTCAGTAAATTTTATTTTTAAAAACAAGCTTTTTTTATTATTATTCCTTCACAAAATTTTTATTTTATTAGAGATGATAAACATTTTTTACAAACTTTATTTGATTATAAAATTAATAATTAATATCTACAAGGTATGTAAATAAATTTTAAATCTTATTTAAGAAACAGTTTATTTCCTATTTATTTACATATTCAAAACTCATATATATCATTTATGCTGTCTTGTCTTTTATTCTACATTACAAAAATGACAAGTAATTTATATTAAGAATAGATTATTTTTCTCTGAATACTATAATGAATATAATTTTGAGAAATATAACATTGAAGTTTCTTTGTTCTTAAATTTATTTACTAATAAATAGAATAAAATAAAATTATAATAAATTAAAATTATAGTTATAAAAGAATATTCATTTTATGTATTACCTAGTATTAAAAATACCATTATGTATTTGCAGAAAAGAAAATTTTATTTATACAACAGAGACAATAAATAAAAATTAAAATAAATTTTAAATGAAGATATTAAAATCAAACAGAAATGAATAAATAATCATTTCAATTTTATTCCATAAAAATGTATTAATAAAGTTAAACAAATAATCTGAAAACTATTATTATTATTATTTAAATCATAAGATGGGAAATGAAGATGTTTTATCATTACCAATAATTGCATATTATCTTTAAAATGTTATTTTATGTATTTATTTTTTGTTGTTGTTATTTCAAATAATTAAATTAACTTTAAAAAAATATATAGATCAATATAAAAATTATAATTATTAATTTATGTTAGCTGTAATAAATGATATTTAGTATTATTATTTTGAACAAAAAAAATCAAAAGTCACACATCTTATGCAATACATATTTTAATTTTATTTTTATATTTAAATCGTCAAAATCTGAAGATTTAAATATAAATGTCTCTAGAAATTTGTATAATAGAGATGTCTATATTATATTTCAAGAATTCTTTTTGAATGACTTTTTTGAGATTAATATATATTTATTAATTATATTTAACAACTACTGATTATATCAATGATTGTACTTTCATATTTTATAATAACTTTAATAATTATAAAAATCTCCATGCTCTTCTTTTAAGTAGCTTCTAAGAAATTAATTTTTTAAATCATTAAACTGAAGAAAATTTATAGCTAATACCTGAAAAATTTATTTAATAGTCACATAGCAAATAAGATAAATGCCTACTGTTTATTTGCCACACATTTTCATGAGTTAACTGCACTGGCAGAGAAAGCACAGAATGTTAGTAATCTCCAAGTAACAGCACTTACATCAGAAGAAAATATTACTTTTCTATATAAAATTAAAGAAGGTTTGCTTTTTAACTTTCTAATTAACTATATTACTAAAATATTAAGCAATTAAACTAATTTTATACTTATAAATAGGAATTTGTGATCAAAGTTTTGGTATACATGTAGCAGAATTAGTACATTTTCCATCACATGTCATAGAGGTAAAGTTTTTTTTATAAATTTATCAATTATTAACTAACTAACTAAATTGTGATAAAATTATTTTAGCTTGCTAAACAAAAATTAAGTGATTTTGAAGATTTTCATTGGAATAATGCATCTTCTAATGAAGAAGAACCTGTTGCAAAAAGCAGGAAAATAGAATATGAGGTAAATTTATTAAAATAGTAAACTAAGTTTTGAAAAAGAAATTTTCACCTGGCTTAGTTACTTCAAAAGATATTGAAACATACATTTTATCAACCTATTAACTTAATTATTTAAAAAACTGATTTTATTGGCTAATTGTGTTTTTTTTTTTTTGTTTTTTAGGAAGCTGAACAAATTATGAAAGAATATATAACTGACATTTGTAGTTCTCTAAACTCAGCAGAAAAAGAGTTATTTAATATGAAGCTCAACAATTTGAAAGATAATATAGTTTCTAAGAATAATTCTTATATTAATGAACTCATTTCTAAAGCTTAGATTACAAAAAGTTTATATTTTATATATTTTTAAAAAATTTTTATTAGTAAAATAATTACAATAAAGATCTACATTGATTACCAGTTTTTGTTTATATTTTATTACTTAAATTTTAAATGTATCAAATGGAAGAATTTTTTTCCCAACAAATAAATGTATTACTATTAAGATCATATTACCTCATATAATGATTTTTTTATATCCATGTTAATTCGAAAATTAAATAAATAATTTATTTAATTTTTTTTTTAACTTTTTGTGAATTTATAATATGATGACTGTTAATAATTGTTATATTTAAAAAATGCACAGTAATGTTAAAATTGACAATATTGCACTTTTCAAAGGTCATGATGACATTTTAGATTTTTCAGATTCAGGTTAGAATTCTGACTGAAAATAATTATTCACTGAGAAATTAGTTTTATTTTTATTTTTTTCTAACAACTATACATCATTAACAAAAATTATTAAAATAAAATAAATATTATACTATTTAATTTCATATACATTCTAAATAACATAAATATAACTACAATATGAAATTTGTAATGGGTGTCACAACCAAGATATTTTTTCATTCTCATAAATCAGTGTAAATTTCAGGAGAAGAAAGTTTCATAATTCAGTAACTTTTATTGTAAATTGACAAATTTTAAAATTTGAATTAATCAGCACTTGGGTAATTCTAGAAATCAATAGCTTATTAGATTAACAGTTTTGGAATGAAAATATTTAAATTTAATAAATTGTTGACTTCTAGAATTAACAATGTGTTGTTTAATTAAACTTAAAACTTGGATGTTTCAATTTTAAAAATATTTCATAAATAAATGACCTTTCAGTTTATGTATTAAATATTCTAAATAAAATAAAATATATAAATTATAATTATTGAATAATAAAAGATAAACTTAGATAATGATGATGATAGTGATATAGAATTATTATGAAGATTACTTTATAACTATTAGTTATAGTAAAAGAATAACATATTTTTTAACTAGTTTATTATATTGATTTAAGAGAATGAAAGTATTATTCTACCAACTGACTATTATAAACATCTGCACATGAATCAACAAAATTTGAGAACATTCAAACTATGTTAAATTAAAGATTAATTGCGAAAAATGAGTTACTGGAACTTATTGTCAGTAGGTTTGTTTGCTTTCAATATCAAAAAGAGAAAAATATATTTAACAATTTGAAACGTTAATTCAGATATAATAGTTACTTTTCATCTTAAAGAAAGATATTCAGATTTTAAAAACTTAATTGATCATATACATTTATGATGTTGAAAATATTAGTTTTCTTAGCTGCTGTCTTATTTGGATAATAATAATGTAACTGAAATTTTATATATATTTAAATTAGAAATTTGGTATCCGACTCTAAACCAGTCTGATAAGTGGATTTTAAAATATTCACTTGAATGTCTCGCTTAAGTCATTAAAAAATTTTGTGCTACAAACCCTATTTCAGTATAGAGAACTTGTTAAATGCATAAAATGAATACAAAAGAGTAATAATAAATATTTAATTCCTAATAATATGAAATCACATTCTATTATTATTGTTATTGATGTTTTGTTAATTTCAAATGAAATTAGGAATATAATTTATTTATTTTTGTAATCGGAATACATGTAAATTTAATTTTTAAGTATTTAAAAGATACCGAATTGCTCATTCAAATTTTTAATAGAAATTTGTATTTTGTCATTAATATCTATTATTTATTGTTCTATATAACTTTCATTAAGAAATCATAAAGTCACTCAAATAAAATTTTATTCATCATTGATTTTTGAATTGTTAAAATGATGATTTAAATTTTGATGATAATAGGAAGAAAATATCAATAATCTGACAGTTCTTTAAAATGTCATATCATATATTCATAGCATTCAGTAATTGTGAATCAATAAGTTGTATTTTTCTCTCTATTATTTATTTTTTAAAGTAACTTTTTCTGTTTTTTCTAAAATATTGAAATTCATTATTACACAATATCAATTCTTTTATTTTTGTTAATTTAATAAATTTATATGATTTCCATCAGTTTTATATCCACATTATTTTTTAAGTGTTTCAATTTGAATATAAAATAGTGTCAAATTTCATCAAGATATATCAAATTCTGTTTGATTTTAAGAACTTTATGGCTCATTTTATATTTAAAATTTGACCCAATGTTAACATTTACTCTCTTTCATTCATTTCAGTGCAAGTGTCTCAAGAATTTATCTCTTGACCCCTTTTTTCATATTGATATCTGAAAAAAAAAATATAGGGCCAGAGATGGGTGCAGACCACTCACAAATTTGACATTCCATTCACATTCAAAAGCAGAATTACATAAATAAAATCAATAAAACAAACGAAGACAGGTTTTTTTCCACCACCTATCATCTGTATTACTTTCATATCATATATTTTTTTTGCATAGATTAAATTTTTGGAGGTTCTTGTGTGTCAGATGCCCTACTGCCCCCCTTTATCAGGGTCTGAGGAAGTGTATTATCATATTACAGAAAACTTATCAGATACATTAGCTTAGCACTTTTTATAACATACTTTTATGTTATAAAAAATGTGTGTGAGAAGTCGATGGTAAATATATGTAGCCTAATGATGTGTAGATCCCTTTTTTTGCTGGCAGATTGAAGCTAAATCGAAAATTCATTAACATATTGATTGTCAAAATAAAAACAAAAGACAAATTTCCAAGGAAAAAGTGAAAGCAGAGGAACCTCATTGACATTTGTAATTCATTCTTTTCACGTAATAAAATCGAGAATTTTATAATTTTTTAAAAGAATTTCCACACTTAACGATATATATTGCTTAATTAACTTTGATATTTTTCGTTATTTGTATTTCTATTNGGAAAGCAACTGAAAGTAAAAAGATATCATTTATAACTTTTTAGGATGAATAATTCTTTTTATTTTCCGCCTAAATGTTTATCTATAGATGTGTAATACTTAGGAGTGAGTAATTATGAAATGTAACACAAAACACGCGCTTGTCTACCGAGCATGATTTCTTCAAATATTATTGTCTAAATCAAAATGAAGCATTGTCAATTCTATTTTAAAAAATTTTTATAATGTTTATTTTACTTCAATTATATTACAATAATAGTATTTTTTCAGTTCTCTCGCTATTCACATCAACTAAAACCGGAAACTGGAGAGGATGGGCGCGACTAAATTACTATAAAACTGTCGAATTTCTTTTCTTTTTTTTTGTAATTTTATTTTTATTTTTTAAAATAATAATAAATTTTTCAAAATACTAGCGAATAAAATAAAAAAAAATGTATACAGATTTGAAATTATTAAACTAAAGCATTCATCATTATCGATTGTGACATTTCGCGGCACGAAACGCGATTTATTTATTTTTTAACCTTTCATTGACTAATTAAAGAGATTAATTAGACGTTTCGCGATTTACTTTTATTAGAAGTTTACCACAAAAGCCTTATTCGCGTAGGATTTAAAATTTGTGACAAAGAAGAAACGTGAATGTCACGTTTATAATTTGAATACGCGACATTTCGCTATGACTTATAGCGAAATTTACTCGACAATTCCTTGATTAACTTGATAAATTTTAATCGTAATTAACTCTATAAATTTTTACTTTACTTTACTAAATTATTTACATTTTATTTAGAACTAAAATCTTTTTTAATTCGATTGTTAATTCATTTAGAGAATTATCATTTAAACGTGAAAGGTTTTTATGTTAAAATTGATAATAACATTATTTGTTAAAGATTTAATTTCGTTTTCTAAAAACTTTTTCTAATTCTTAAGCCGAAAAAACGATAATTATGATTGGAAAAAAACACTTAAACGGGAAGTTATAATCTGTTGATAGCATCTTAAATCACTAGCGATACTAACAGATCATTCCAAAGTATGTAGTAATAACATTATAATTAACATTGATGCCGCCTAAGAAAAAATGAATTTTTGATATTTACAGAAGGCAAATTAGTTTAATTTTTTAAAAAAAATTATTATTGATTATAATTATATCGCATGCATTTTATCTTGTATTTTATCGTCCTTTGCGTCGCATTGCGCTCGTAAAATTCTTATGTTTTAAGCAAAGAAATGATTGATAGATGCGACATTAAAAACAAAAGAAAAAAAAATTGTAATACAATCTAAAGATGAATCACAACACAAAAGATATTCATTGCAAAAAATATAGAAGTTTTGTATGATAAATGAAGTAATTTTCTTTAACAATACAACTACCCGAACATATTCTAAGTCTAAAAAAGTATCTAGAAGGAAAATCGTGTGAAAACTTTGGCAAGAAGAAGACCGAGTTTTCGGTTGTGATAATCTTTTATCATAATGTCAAGGGAAAAAAAAACATTGTAAAGTATGTAAAGTATCAAGATTACTGCGCAAAAAATAATGTAAGATATGCAAAGTAAGAAAGTCCTCTCGTATATAGAGATAATGTACAGTACATTATCTTATATATTTGAACCTATAGTTTGGTGAAAGGGTTCGAGCACAATTTAACCCTTAAGGGCTATTAAAACTAGGAGTTAGAGAGGCCACTTTAGGTCGAAAAGGAAAACTCACGACATAAACTCGATCGAACATATTCGATACCTATATAAGTAAATAGGAGTTGAATACATTCTGACCTCAATTTTACTATTACAAGATTATCTAATACATTCTTCTCTAGTTTTTTTTAGAGGCTGACATTGATATCTGGTTACATTTTTTCACGCGCGTTGGTTCTTGAAAATTAAACTTGGAAAGAAAACGAGCATTTATTTAGATCCCATTTTTGGGAGGGATGAATTTTTTTTATCTTTTTGGGAATTTTGCCAAAGGATCTCTCACGTGACAATTTTCCAAAAAGCGAATGGTTAAAAGAAACAGAATTTTGATAATTCGTATTTGATGATAAGAAGAAAATAAAATTTAAAACCGTTTGCGTTTAGCAGTCATAATTTTGTTATTGTATTATCAGGGAAAAAATTGATATAAAAATTGTTGACGGGTAGCATAAATGAATCAATCTTAAAAATATTTATGTGAGTAGACGAATGCCATCCATCACCATCTTTTACTTTCCTCTTTTTCACAGCCAAGTTGGCTAATGGGGTCGTCAGTGAGCAACAAAACGATGTACGAGTGGTGTTTTGTGACTGCACAAACTAGAGATGCTGTACAGTGTAGTCGCAACCGTGGAAATATAATGGAAAGCAACTGAAAGTAAAAAGATATCATTTATAACTTTTTAGGATGAATAATTCTTTTTATTTTCCGCCTAAATGTTTATCTATAGATGTGTAATACTTAGGAGTGAGTAATTATGAAATGTAACACAAAACACGCGCTTGTCTACCGAGCATGATTTCTTCAAATATTATTGTCTAAATCAAAATGAAGCATTGTCAATTCTATTTAAAAAAATTTTTATAATGTTTATTTTACTTCAATTATATTACAATAATAGTATTTTTTCAGTTCTCTCGCTTCTGAAAACATCAAAGTATTACTGTTCAAATAGATGCTGGTATAGCATTAAAGTGATTTCTTACCTCCCTCAGAAATGCGGTTATTTTTAGTCTCTTACCCTCTAAGTATTCTTATTTAAATTAGTTACTATAGTAACATTAAAATACTTTTTCTTCTCTAATAATGCGCTTCAACTGTTTTCTCGCTCAGCTTGCTATCCAAATTAGTTACTGTTGCAGCAGCGGAGGACTTTTTTCTGTAAAAACCGTGTTTCGATTAATTAGTAATGAATATTTGTTCCTAATGTAGTATTAAAGCAGTTTGTTCCTGTAACAAATGTATTTCAGTTCCAACTACACGAAAAAATCCGGACTATAACACACTCCTTTCATGCGTGACATTGATTTTATTCGTGTATTAGCATCCAGACGTTACGCCCGTTTCTATTCCAAAAGAAGTATTAATTAATATTACTAAATTTATAATAATTTAATAGATTTTAAATACTTTTAATTGCATTTTTAACTCGTTCCTTTTTTAAAATTAAAATAATTAAATTTTTAAAAGCGTCCCTAGCGGCTATGAATAGAATCAAAAATTGAAATACCTCTAGCGGATTTAATTCAAATTAATAAGTTTTCAATTTGAAGTGTTGCCAGATACCATAAAATCGTTAAAAAAAAAATTTTTCCTTTTTATATGAAAGAAGACATGTTTTAGAAATTTATATACAGTATATCATCCGAGAAGACGGGTTTAAATTTTAACATATATCTGTACTTTAAACTCCATCTAGCGTCGTGTAAGCGAAGCAAAAACGTAGTATATATTTGCATGATGCATGAGACATTGGGTTGCCATAACGACGATGTTGACCACCGTCCTTGCCCGATACAAAGTTGAGTGGTTATCTCTTAATGGAGCGGCCACCCAGTTTATTGACCACTCGCCCTCGTTACCAGGGTAACCAATACACAGGACGTGTTACAATTTCTTTCCTTAGCAACACTTTAAACGTGGTTATGTGCGAAATGACCGAAAGACACGAAAGATGTTTAAAATCTATAAAAGTGCCTTAAAAAATTACGTACTCTTTTTTTTACTTTTTATAAAATAAATACGACAATTAACGACTTCAATAACATCTTTTAATGACTGTACAATGACCATGTGCACAATTTTTGATTAGTCACAATTTTTTCGAGTCTTCACAACATCTTAAAAATAAAAAACAAAGTCGAGAAGTAGAGAAAGAGAGGAAGAGAAAAATACTTTCGGAATTATTATTATTATAATTAAAAAATAGAAGAGGAAAAAAATGGAAACAGAATTTTTACAGATTTATTTGTACCATAAGATGCAAAGATTCAACATCACAGCATTTTTTTTTTAATTTGTACGAAATCCAGTGACAGATGTTCCGATGTGGAACATCCCTCAATTTGAGCGAATCACATACACGAGAGAGTGATATGTTTTAAAAAACCATGAAAAATAGTAAAAGCATATCTGCTCGGCCGTTCTTTTAACGGATTTTTTTTAAATTCTTTTATATACTATCACACAGCGGTGAAAAAATATCACATAAAAGTTTTGGTTTTGTTGGATCTAATTAATGCACCCAGTTGTAATGCTGTAAGGGCATATTACTACCTACGGAATCAAAATTGAAATCTAAATTACCCTCCATATTAAGTGTATACCTTAGTACTTGATCGACATCACAGTCTAAACCTTCCTGAACGGCCACGAAGTTTAGATCAACGTCTGAAGAGTTGAGAGTCATCAGTGGTCCAACGACGTAATCTGCTGTGTTTGCTAGAGATGTTGCCACCGAATGCGTATCGTGATAATTTGTATATATAGACGATGTTTCGTAAAATGGAGGCTGTAGCGGCGGAGTTGGATAGTGCTTACATGCTTCTGTATACGCGTATGATTGGTTGTTAAATTCTTTCATTTGGCAATTGTTTATATAATGGTTTTGCCCATTTAAGCTCATTGTTTCCGTCATGTTTTGGACTAGATGATCTGGACTATATACGGGCCACTTACTGTTAGAATCTGCGTTTTGTAAAGGCGACAGCCGGCTATTGGAATTGGACATTCCTCTGTATTCGGGACTGTATTGATAAGCCGTATGTGGTGATTCTGGAAACAAATCTGTATTTTCTGAAACAGATGAACTTGGACTAGGAGTTGGTACGTTGCGTGGAGTTTCTAAAGGTTTTTTCTTCGATCGGCCACGTTTTCTTTCGTGATTGTATTCCGAGCTGTTTGCTTTTCTTCTCGGTGTTTTACCAGGTTTGGCATCTGGATTCAGCATCCACCATGAGCTCTTTCCTGTTCCTTCATTTTGAACCCGCATAAACCGATTGTGAAGGGATAAATTGTGTCTAATGGAATTCTGAAATAAAAAGAAAAAGGTAAAATATATTTATATAAAAATTTAAATCATATAATTTAATTAAAATAAAATAAAAAATTCGAAAAACCAAAACCGTCGAGGATCGAAAGGAAGTGATATAACGTGCTATATCGTAACGAGACAGGAATGTAACGCAATTAATCAAAAATATTAAAGTTTGACCTTATGTATTTGATGAAAAAAACCCGATACACCCATTTTTGAAGGTTTAATCCGTTGTTAAGGGTTACACAAATAAGCAGCAACCGTATCTGCAGCAGTTCAGGCGATAGAGCGCTGTTCTCGACACGACAGCCTCCCCACAGGCGTATCAAAAGACAACCAAGTTGCCGACGTCACTACAAAAAATCGCATTTTTTTGGAAAATTTCTCAATAAAATTAAAACTTGTTATATTATTTATGATCCTTAGAAGATGATTAATCGTTATTAATTGTTTAAATTGTTGTGAAATGAATATGATCGGAATTAAAGACAATTTAGTGAATTTCTAATCCTAATACCGGAACAACAGTTTCCTGCAGATGTGTCCTACGGATGAGCTGAAGCTATAGATCGGATGTATCTGCATTCCAAGTCAAGGTTGGACATAGATTTATAAGACAAACAGGAAAAGAATAACATTATCTAACATGTCCATAGAATCAGAAACAGTTTTGAATATAATAGTAGTAGATTATAGGGGAAAAGGGGGTAGAACATCAAACATAAGATAGCAATGAAGGTGTTGTCAGTTCCGGTCATATGGGTGTGAATTGTGCAAACAGTAAGCTGTTGTCGACTTTAAAATTGTAAAAATAACAGATACCGTTCACCACTCCAAAATGGCGCTTTTCAACGACGAAAACGCAAAGCGCAACTTATTTCCTGGCTAATATTTTAAATTTAAATTTACAATTTTTACTACTTTTAAATCTGGACTGCAAAATCTTTAAATTGTATATTTTATAATTATTTATTTTTATCGTTTAGAGTGAAAAATAATCGAGCGAAGTTGCGATCAGCTACTAGTTTTACGTGTCGGATGGAGTGGCTTCCTCTAAGGCGCTCCTTACAAGTTTCGGTTTTCCTGAATCGTTTTTATTACATGTTCTAAACTAAAACTATATTTGCCGATTTAATATTAATTATATACATATATATTTATTTATTTATTAAAAAATTAATATAACCAGATTATAATTTACAATTTAAAGATGATAATATTATTAATTAATAGAAAATGTTTAAGTAAAGTAGTTCTTAACAATAGTTTTTGTATTCCTATATTAAAAAATATACTTTAAATTTTTTAAAGCTCTTAATTAAACTCAATTCTATTAATTTATTAAAAAATTTATATAATAAAATAA